CTGTAACATTGTTCTCCTCCTACACTCAACTACAGTATCCTCCAGGAGACAGATCATGTGAGCTCCACTGACTCATTTGCATTAAGTTAAACAACAAACTTTGTTGAATTGCCGGAGACGCCCACATTGCATCACATACCCCCACTATTGTTCATCTCTCATTGAAAATTAATGAGTTGTTAAACGTGTTTATGTTTGTTTGTACTGCAGGCATCCAGCTGAAAAAAGTTCAAGAGCAGCAGGAACAGCAGGCGAAACGCAAGCCGGTGGGCAATGACGTCGCAACTATCTTGTCTCGCCGCATCGCTGTGGAATACAGTGACTCTGAAGATGAATCTGAGCTTGAGGACAATGACTGGTCTGACTAAAACAATACTAATGCACAAAATTCACAGACACTTAATCTCTAATTCACCTGCGAACGTTAACGTTGCATTTCCCATACACACAATGATCTTGTACAGTATGTATTTTAATAAAGGCACGATAGGCCGTCTGTATTATGAAATACTAAAATAGTCAGTCTTTTCCCGTATGATGCTTTTTCCATTTTTCTAATGCTTTTTAATGCAACACTTGTTAATAAATGATATGGACATACTGTATTTAGTGAATAGCAAGTCGAACTACAGATAAATTAAGCATGTTGAGGTCAGATGTTTCTGCATGAAAGTTTCGATGTATGTTGAGAAACACTGAGGTCAGTAATTATATTTGTGTGAACTGACTCAAGGAATTTGATTAACTACCTGAAATGTGTTCGCTCAGTGATGTCTGGTTTCTGCGTGCGTGTGGCAGTAGCGACAATAAAAATCCGACGAATTACATTAAACCGCTCTCCGAGTGTCTTCGTCATGGAATCAGGACAGTTTTGATTCCGAGACTCATGTCTCTATGGAAACAGTACAGCTGAGACTGGGAATCGCCATGGCAACAGTGGATTTGAGGCAGTCGGCCAATTGATGTGCAAGTGTGAATAAACCCAGGCGAGGATATTTTTAATGCACAGCACATTCTTTTTAATACAAAATTAACAAGATCGCTCAGTTCATTAAACTAACCAAAGAAATAAAAGTATACAACCAACATCTTGGAAAAATATACAACACGTTAACACAATGTCTTACAAGGTTAATTAGTGCATGTTGATTATAATTCTTATAATATTGTTTTGCAGATAAGTAATTTGTTGTGCCTTTTCTTATCAAAAAAATAAAGTGCATTTCACAGTTAAAACTATGCATACGTGTACACAAGATGCTGAAACCGATGCACCCGACTGCCCCTCGGATTGTTCAAGATTTCGATTCTAGTTACTAAATAAAGTACAGAACGAGTCTGAATCTTAGTGTAAATGTATAAAGTTTCCACACAAGACATCAATTTTCAAAGACATTTTTTTTCAGCTCTTCAAATAAACCAGAATCGGAGGCAGACTCCTATCCGAGCCCTTTTTCGCCCTTCAGTTTGACATTTTCAAGCTCTTACATTGGATTACAGAGTACCATCATCTACAGTTGGATACAAGTCTATTTAAATCAAAGATTCAGTCGCCAAATGTCCATCTGCATGTGGAAAATCCATCAGAGACCAGGCACAAAGCATGATAACATCATTTTACAAAGCTCTTTTCAAAAACAGAAGGAGATATGATGTTTTAGGCAGAGGCCTAACCCTCAAAAGTCACCGCGATAATCCCTCTGTCATTTCTGACCAAACGGCTGTGCATCTAGCATTAACCCTCTCAATCAGCTGTAGACAAGCATGCCCAGGCAATAGGAGACACTGGAATGTGGCTCAAGGTTAACTGTTTCAGAATGGAGCATTGCAGGAATGATGTATTTTTGTAGGCCTTAACCGGAAATAAGGGTTTAGCATTTCTGGTTTGATCATCCTGAAGTCAATGTTTTTTGGTTTTTGGTTAAATGTCTGAAATAAGGTCTGTGGTTAACACAAGCTCAAGATATTTCACGCTTTATTCTGCAAAATAAAATACATCAATATAACCCCCTTGTGATGTTTTAAAGCTTTTAAAGTATTGAAAAACCTAGTTGCTAACAAGTAGCTAAACGGGACTTTCAGTGCACATTAAAGAAACTGTATGCATGTTTGTTGTTGTTTTTGACTTTGAAAAGTCCGTTTCAAAATCCTTCTAAAACGTCAAACATCTGTTCTAGGAATATATTTAGAGGAGCTGGTACGAAATTCCGCGAAAAGGGTGGCTTGCTTTCGGACAGCAACAAATGCACGTGTACTGCCAGCTACTGTTATTACCACATATATATTTATGACAGTGAATTCCACTCACTTAACTGTAGGGGGCTCCAAAGTCGCAAAAATACATACAGTTGCTTTAAAGGACATCACGCCAAACAGGTAAACTCATCTACTCTAGTTCTCTTTTAGTTCGCCTAAAATGGTGTATAATCGCGCTCTTGCAAACTATTCTACTCTAGTCTCTACTCAGGGCAGCCCTACATTTAATATTTTGACAAATGAAAACAAGGCTGAGGGGCTAAAGTAGGGCGTTCAGTGGATTGTACTGTTGTCAACATACCGTCTGTTCAGCTGACGAAACATCTTTCCGAAAAAAAACCCCGTAATAAAACAGTTGTAGATGTTGTGAGCTGTGAAAATTAGGTGGTCTAGGACCTTTATACAGTACGTGCCATTGTAAAGACTGTAAGTCTATCTCTCACAGCCTTGTTTTCCGCGTTAAATTCAACATGGCGTCTACCCAGCAAACACAGAACGTTCCCCTAATAATGTTCCCATATGGGGAACCAAATAAGAACGTTCTGGGAAAGTTCTCTTAACCTAAAGGGAACGTTTTATTTACATAAAGAAAACTTTCCTGGCTAACCAACAGAGACCATTACAATATCTGTTCTGGGAACCAGAAACTAATGTTACCAGAACGTTCTGGGAACCAAAAAATGTTAACTAGGTAACCTGTTTATGTTCATCTTTTTACTTCTGGTGATTGTATTTAGGCTTAAATTCATTTGTGAAGATTATTATGATGATTCTCAGGATTTTTGTCGGTCACAGAGCTTATTTTCTGCAATAATCCAAAAGCCACTGGAAAAATCCTATTGGTATTTGTCAGTGGAAACCAGGGTGATGCTAACTTTCGGATTACAAAAATATGTCATCACCACATCACTCTATGACATCAGGTGAGAGTTGCCATCATGCCTCCTTAAAGTCGCATGCCTTATTTACAGGATCAAGACGATCGGCCATAGTAACGATAAGAATGTCGATACATTCAGAAAAGACCGTACAGCGCATCAGAATACAAAATAAAATCTCAGGAATTCCGAAAGAATCCAGACTGAGGGGGAAAAATAGAGACTTTCGATGAATATAGCAAAATAAGTTATTCCTCAAAGATCAGACGAGGCCTGCAACAGACCAATCATCGCCTCCATGCTAAGCCCTATTAAAACTCGCAAACCTGCTCCCTACTGCTCATGTGCTGTTTCAGTGGAATCGTATTGAGGTCACTCAGGCAAAAAGGTCACGAGGGTGTGTCCGACCCGCAGGCACGATGTAAAGAGGGTGCAATGGGAAGACTGGTAGCCACTCTAGCCCATGCAGGTCTGAGGGGAATATACATAATTATCCCCAACTACATAATTGTCCCTGGAGAGACGAACATATATGCATGCGTTCACACGTACACGCACACACACGGCCATGCACCGACAGTCACGCCTTACACATCACGTTCCTCACACATTATAAACATCTCTAAAGTTTGCAAAAGCAAATGCATACGGCAGAGTAGGTCACATTGAGTGTACAGAGAGATTTCATTCATAGTTAGATATCCTAAATGACCACAGGCAGGGCACAGTCACTTTCTGGACGAGAGAACATGAGGCTGTGAGATTATGGATGTGTTTACAGGGATTGGGACATCTGTCCAGTTTCTGTTTTTTTTTGTTTTTTTCTCTAATCCCAAATTCACTAATATCATTTGGATGATGTTGAAATAAATACAGTTGTCAGTCGTTCTTGGAATCCACTCGTATTTTCATGGTGGGTTTGTTGGTTTTGCTTGGGCACGGCTGTTATTGCTGCCAGAGTATTGCTATAATTTGATGAAACGCTTGGTCCGTAGTTATTGCTCGCTGATGGATTCTGCCACAGCACTGAATTGGATAGTGGTTGGTTGGCATTTGGAGGGCGTAAGGTAAAAAGCAGGGGTGAACTTCAGCTCATAATAGTAGCATGACTCCAGCTTCAGTTGTGATGAAAGTACGGGAAGATAGATTTCATAATAACATTCTCCCTCATCTGACATTTGCCAGGTCTGAGAGGCCAGCTGTTCTCCTCATTATAATTGTGTTGTGTGGACCGTTTGAGGAGATTCACCAGTTTACTAACAATCAAGTTAAATGTAAATCTACGGAAGGCTCATCTGAGAGTGTAAGTGTAGCTTGGCTGGCACATCTTTGAACAGTTTCATCATTTTAGAATATTATTTATCATGGGTGAATCTCATAAAATCTTGTCCAGGCCATATTTCACCCCAAAATCAAAAGAAAAAATGTACTTTGCATAAAGACAATGAAGCATATTATTTTGGGATTATTTAATTTTGGCCTTCCATGATAGATAAGTCAATTTTTACACCCTAACCTAATGAATCCATTAATTATAATAAAACTAATATTATATAATTACATAATTATATAACCAATTATATATGTATTATATAACATTATACGTAATATATACTATATAATTCATAAAATATATTTCAGATATCTTTCCCATATATGTGTTGAATGTCATCTCTTATTATTAGCCATGTTTAAAACGGCTGAAACAGTGTTCTGCTCCTTAATATTTTTGTGGGAGTTGTTATACATTTTTCAGGGTTGTTTTGTTTTTGGGGGGGGGAGGCTTTTTTTATGATTTTATAAATCATTTGAATTGTATTTGTGAAAATAATGTCAAAGTGCAATTAATTTTTTCTTTTGATTTTGGTTTGAAAAGCTTTACTCGCGTTGTTTCAAACAAAATACCTCTAATTAATATATCTCAATGTCATGCCCAAATCATCATTCTTTGCAAATGCAATACATGTAAATTTCGTGCTATGAACTACCATTGTGACAGCTATCCCATATCCAGTAGTAATTACCAGTTGAACATAAAAAACGGAGCAGTGCTCTATTCAGAGCGACAATGACAATGCAAATTAAAAGCAAATCAATAGAAAATACATTCGGTTCCATCCTTCATGTCGCTGCATATAAACAAACCTCTTATTCTCAGCCACTTAATGCACGTTTTGTACTCAACAATTCTTTGAAGTGAGCCTCTATTCATAGGGGGCTGTTTAAATGAATATACATACACTTTCTCCTAGTCGCTTTCATCCCGCATTTATGGAAGAGAATGCAGAGACAGTTCGACTTACGTTCTAAACCAAAATAAAGGCATCGATGGGTTCGGTTATTTATAGAGTGGTTCTCATTCTGAGATTGTAGTTAGCTCTTCGTGGTTTTCTGCTTTGGAGGACATTTTACATTCTGCCACGCTTGGGTTGAGATTTAAATCAAACAGAAGAGAGAGTGTGCCTGTCTCTCTCTCTCATGTGCATGCCTTCTCCAGGTCGGTATCTTCGGAGGACGCAAGGCACGGATCACCGAGCGCTATTTTTAGCACACCGTGGTTACTTAACGTTCAGCGCACGTTCTTGAATGCAGCAACAGCAGGACGAGATGAATGAGCTTCAGGATCCAGTCAAGAGGACTGCCTCGTGCTGCCCCTCATCTTCCTTCTCCCTCCACAGCCCGTGCAACAGGGGGGCTGTCGCTGTGGCCAAGCCAAAACAAGCACAAAAATACAAAGGCATATATATATATACAAGATATTTACAGCTGCCTGCCACACAGCATCCGTTTCCGCCCCTTTTTTTCTTGGAAAGGGTGTGGCAGCTGGTCGAATTGGGATCAGGCAAAGATTTTGTGGCAGTGGTTGTCACATAACAATTAGGGGAAGACATAAATGGGTGACGCGCACGCCCCTTCTCGTCCCAGGGATTGGGGGAATCTCTGGCCTGTGTAATTCCCTAGGCACATCAGACGTCGCTGGGGGTCCGTGCCCGCTGGGTCACGCTGGCAGGGATACATCCGCAGCACACCAGCCACAACGCTTTCTGGATCTCTTGATTGCGGAAGGCGTAAATTACGGGGTTGATCACCGAGTTGTAGGTGGCGGGAACCAGGGTGGCATACGTGTAAAGGCGCGGGTACGTATAATCGGCAATGAGCGAGTAAACTGTAAACGGCATCCAGCAAGCTGCGAATGTGCCCAGAATGATCGCCAGGGTGGATACGCCTTTCCGCGTCGTGACGTAGTGAGGACTTGCAGCTAAAAAGTGGTGTTGTAGGGCGATTTGGTGCGCATGTCGCATGACGATTTTACAAATCTGCACGTAGAGCTGAAGCATGAGGCCGAACAGTAGAAGGAAGGAGATGGACAGAACGGCTACGTTGTTTTTTGTTAGGGGCCAAATCACGCTGCAGTTCGCCTCCTGGCCCAAGCAGTTCACACCGGTAACCGGCAGCAAACCCAAACATAACGAAACTCCCCATAGAAGCACCAGCATGGTGTATGTGAACGTGGCCGTTCGCTCTGAGTTGTAGGTGAGGGCGTAGTATAGCGACAGGTAGCGGTCGATGGTAATAGCTAGCAGGCTAAAAACAGATGCTGAGAAGGATGCCACCACCAGACCTACAGTCAGCAGCTGTGCCGAGTCAGATCTTAGCAGGTAAGCGAAGGTAAAGTGCAGGACTAACCCTAAACCAGCCAATAAGTCGGCTAGAGCTAGGCTGCCGATCAGCAAAAACATTGGGGCGCGCAGTGCCGGGTTCTGCCAGATGACCAAAACCACCAAGGCATTCTCGCAGGCTATAAGGGTGCCGGATGAACACAGCACGATGTCCCATGGGTTTACCAACAGCTCAGCAGGCGGCCTCGCCGGCAAGACAACCGCAGGTGGGTATGTTCCGACAGTGATGTTTTCTATGCTTCCTGCGCCGCTGCTGCCCCAGGTGGGTTCTTGAGCCAGCCAGCTGGGAGAAACTGGCACCTCTTCACTCATTCTGCCTCCCCTAAATTGGCGCAAACAGAAAAACATAATGAGGTGTATAGAAACAGAAAAAAGACAAAACAATATAATCCACTACTTTTGATCCCCCCAAAAAAGTAATAGTCAACTATACATTTTGTGTGTGTGTGTGTGTGTATGTTTATGTGGTTTATGAGGACACAAATTTGTTTAATGACATGAGTATGACATAGGTATTACAACATGAAGGTGATTTATGAGGATACTTTATGTCCCTGTAATTCAAAAGGCTTATACATTTTTTTTTTTGTTGAAAATCTAAAAATGTCTAAAATCTAAAAAAGTTTCCTGTGAGGGGTAGGTTTAGGTGTGGGGTTGGTGTAGGGCGATAGAAAATACAGTTTGTACAGTATAAAAACCTTACACTTGTAAAACTACCACGTGTAAAACATTACACTTATGGAGAGTCCCCGTAAACCATAAAAAACAACTTGTGTGTGTGTTTAAGGGATAGTTCAACCAAAACGGAAAATTCTATGATCATTTACTCACGCTTGTGTCATTCCATTTCCAAACCTGTATGACTCACTTTCTTCTGTAGAACACAAAAGAAGAAATTTGGAAGAATGTTGGTAACCAATTTTGGTTCCCATTGACTCCCATTGTAAGTTTTGTCCATATGGAAATCAATGGGAACTGAAACTTTTTGATTAATATTATTTCTATCTTTCTATCTTTTTATGTTTTACAAAAGAAAGAGTCATACAGGTTATTAAATAACTACAAAATAAATGTCTTTGTTTTAAAACAAAAATACTATAAATATAATGCCTTAAGCATAATGCACTATTTCTCAGTAGATAAAATGATTAATACTTTTTACTTTTTCAGCGTTTTACTGCAAAATTAAATATTAGGATAACCAATGGGGCTAACCAATAATGGGTCTTTATTTAGAATTTTTGCAAAATTTTTATAGTGCATGCAATGGTAATTAAACACAAAAAAAAACATCAGATCATCCATTGTAAAAGAAATGAGTGGAAAATTAGCCATTAATAATTATAACAAAAGCCATTGTTCCCTACAATTATGCATTCCTTCTCTGTTAGTCTCTTAAAACTCATTGTTCTTTTGTGCAGAACAAAGAATCAAATTAAGATATATTAAAGACACATTTACTTGTATTCAGTGGATATAGGAACCTGCTATTATAATTTTGAATCATAGCCTACAGTACAATGGTGGAGAATCAGAAAGGAAGGGAGGGCCCTGATGAGTGCTGATATTAAATAAAGGCGGGTTCCACTGCTTATAAAAGCGCCCCTGCATCAGCATCCTTTCATCTATCAGACATGGACTCTTAAAGCACATCTTCACTGCAAGCAGCTGGATGCAAGCATTAATGCCTCTCAGTCCTTTTAGCTTTATAATAATGCTTAAGTTTTTGCTCTGTAAAAATCATTTATGTGTTGTAAAATGCAAAGCAGACTGATTTCAAATATACCCGGTCCCCATTCACTCCCCATCTGGAGGCTTCCCTACCTTGTCTTTTGGAGGAGAGGCGCCTGTTTAAATGTTTTTGCGTCCTTCTAGCCTTGCCATGGAATTCAATGGCAGGGCTGTTCGCAAGTGCAGCGCCGCGCGGACGGATGGAGGAGTCTGATGCCGGATCGGAGGATCGTCACAGCCAGCAGCGGTAGCGGCTCTTCGCCGTCTGCTCGAGTATCGCCACCGACTGCGGCTGTGCGAGGCGCGGGGAGGGGTGAGCTTTCCTTCAGAGCAGAAGGTCCCTTCACCTATTTATCTGCTGCTCGGAAACTGAACGACGCGACTGTTTGTTGTAATGAGCATGTTCGTGAACACATAGCTAAATAAAAATACAGTAACGTATTTTATATTTAAAAAAATAATTTTTCATTTTTTCTAAATTCATCATCATCACGGATGCCTTTTTGGCCAGTCCTCAACACCGAGGCTGCAACTCAATCTTGTGGCATTTTGTTACTATTTTACGTTTTGGCGAATTGCTGGTTATTGTTGTGAATTCGTAAAATCTCATTCGTATGTTTCCTACGATCACTTACGCCACAATTTAGTGTTTACATGCACGTTCTTAAGCCGATTATGCTTAATAAGGCGAAAACGCACTTGGTCATGTAAACGCGGTAACCCGTTTTCTTTTATCGGAGTAAGGTCATAAACGGCGCAAGCATAAACCGATCGCAACAGGTAGTTTTTTGCCTCTTACTCCGATTTCGCACGGCATGTAAACGCAATAACCCGCAATAACCCAGGAACGCATCTTTAGTGCAGATTTAAACGCATCTAGACCGAGCAAACGTCTTGCAGTAAAGAAAGAACCCAGCAAGCAATAGCCGTCATTTCAACTTCTCGGTTAAGTATAGACCCGATATAGTCCGGCTATATGTAACCCACTTCTAGCCCAAACAATGTTGCCAGATTGGAAATGTCTGTACCAGAAGCTCAAAATTATCGTATTTGGAAGAAAATTATTGTACACGAGTCAAACGTACAGAATACAGCTATTTATCTAAACCAACAACTTTTTGACACGACCTGCAAATTACCACAATAGATAACGTTAACTATGCTTACCGTTTTTACATTGGACGCCAGCAGTGCGACAAAATATTATAGAAACCATTATAATCAGTGACTATTTGCACTGGATGCGACACGACACATCCCTGACAGTAAACTGATGCCTCGTTCTATTTATGACTATTAAAATTAGGGATGCATTGATACCGATACTGGTATCAGGCCCGATACTGAGCTCCTGTAGGCCTACTCGTACTCGTACTCGTTAAAATGCCCCGATACCACACAGCATGTGATAAGTGCCATATTCAGACAAAAAAACATTGACAACAGACAGCAGAATGGAGTTATTAGAGATTAAAGATGTCTACGAAGTATATGTATGCAATGAAAAAAATAATGCTAATTTAAATGTTTCAAAAGTTTACTTGCATTTGATAATATGATGTCATGCATCCCACAAGCTGGTAAATGTTACATTCATACACATTATGTGATATTATTGATAATCGTCTGTCTTTCATTTTATAAATAAAAATGCAATTACAATTCCCAACCGCTAGATGGCAATTGTAGCCCTGCTGAGACATGACTACTGGCAACGCTAGATATGAGAGTTAGAGATCAGTGTTGTGTTTTGAATTTTGTTTTTACAGGAGAGAGCACTAAGTTTACTGTTGGAGAGCAGCGGGCAAACAACAAGCGATAAAGTACATTCCTACTTGGTCTTGTAAGTATCTGTTTTCGTTTTGACGTGTTCATTATTTATCTAAATTATACTTTGTCCGCAATTGTTAACCACCTCAATCTGTATTATATTTTAGTTTTTTTTTTTTAATTCCCTCATGTCCAAATTCAAAATGAAGGGGGGTTGTCCGCTGCAGAAAGAGGCATTTGAAAAAACAGCACTGTTCTCGGTCATTAGAGGTATGTGTATAAAACACACAACATTTACCAGAGCGCTTCTCTCTTTTTTAACACACTGAATGGTGATACACTATATATATATATATCGCTCATTTTTGTTTTTAGTAGGCATCCAAGCAAAAGAGAATGACTCCCTGTCACAATTAGTGTAATTAAAGTAAAGAAATTATGTCAAGCTTTTCTTGTGCTTTTTTTCTTCTTTCTTATTTGGCAGATGCTGTGATGACCAACTTCCCGGCAGCAACAGAGTTGGACTTGAGGAATGCAGTTGGGAAGCATTTTAAACAAGAAATAAAACAAATAATTAATAATTTCCTTTAAGTTCACTGTTGGTTGTTTTATTTGTTAAAAGTAAACCAACAAAAGGGTTCATCTTTTTTTTTTATGTTGTCATTTATCTGTAATGTTTTAATGTTAAGTGTGATGACATGCTCTTGATTTGTATTAGATTAAGTTATTTAAAATATTTTATTTTTTTTATTTTTATATTTTTATTATCTTAAGTTGTTAAAAATTCCCGATTTTTTTATCATAATATTTATATTTAAGTGTATTGTATTTATAAAATTAAATTTTGTCATTAATTCTTTTGTATTTTTATAATTTTGTATTGTCTTAAGTTGTCCAAGTTGTTAAAAATGTTATTTTTCTTAATAAAAGATGTATATTTAATTTGTTTGGATGGATTGCCATTTTGTTGTCTATTAGATGTATACATGTAGGCATTCATTAGCTGTCTGTTTGATGACTAGTCTATTCTTGGGCTATGGTTAGACTTCTATTAAATTTTCACTGACAGCCCAAATTCAGCCTTGTTTTTGTCACAGTGTCTGGTTGTGGTGCCCTGGACTGGCCACTTGAGGGCGCTCTTCCTGTTTCTTTGTTACATGTTTTGAACTCTGTTTCCCATAGTCCTTTGCCTTGTCGTTCTGTTCTGATCATGATCACCTGTTAGTAATTTACTCATCATCCCATCATTATACCATGCTCACTCTGTCTGTCTTTGCTGCAGTATTGTTCGAGGTTACATCGTGTTTTCTGTTCCCTGTGTTTGGATTACTGTTTTGTCTAGTTTTTGTTCTGTTCTGATTATTTGTTACTTTAATAAACTACTGTATTTGGATCTACCTTGTTTTCTCCTGGCATTCTGTGACAGAATACTGCAGCCACTACAAGATCGTCCGGGAGCCCACTCCAGAGCCCGCTCCAGTCCGGGAGCCCACTCCAGAGCCCGCTCCAGTCCGGGAGCCCACTCCAGAGCCCGCTCCAGTCCGGGAGCTCACAGAGCCTGCTCACGGAGCCCACTCCAGAGCCCGCTCCAATCCGGGAGCTCTCAGAGCCCACTCCAGAGCCCGCTCCAGTCCGGAGGTTACATCGTGTTTTCTGTTCCCTGTGTTTTGGATTACCTTTTGTCTAGTTTTTGTTCTGATTATTTGTTACTTTAATAAACTACTGCATTTGGATCTACCTTGTTTTCTCATGGCATTCCGTGACAGTTTTAGCCTAGACCCATATTCACCGTCTATTAAAAATTTAGCCTTGTTTTA